GTGAGAAATGAAGAAGTGTTATTTAGAGTCAGTGAGCAGAGGAATATCCTACACGAAATAAGAAAACGGAAGGCTAATTGGATTGGTCATATCTTACGTGGTAACTGCCTTCTAAAAGAAGTTACTGAAGGAAAGATAGAGGGGCGGATAGAAGTGACCAGAAGACGAGGAAGAAGACGTAAGAAGATGCTGGATGACCATGGGGAAAGAAGAGGATATTTTTATTTGAAGGAGAAAGCTCTAGATCGCATCAAGTGGAGGAACTGTTTTGGAAGAGACTGTGGACCTGTCGTCTTGACAGATTACTGATGAATGAATGAATAGATGAAGAGAATTTAGATGGATGAAACATCAGAATAAATGGGTGGTAATTTAATGTCAATTCTGGGAATGTAAAATTGATTGGCATAGTGTCCAATCTTCAGGTTGTATAAAAACAGAGACTTTTTTTCTAATACTTAAGCATTTGGCAACTGTTCTGATAAAAGTCTGTGCCAAGGAGTTAGTTGGTTACTTGTTGGTTTGTTGGTCAGTATGTTGGTCATCAGTTTTAATGATCTTTCTTCCTACCTCCTCCTCGCTCCAAATTGAATTCGTGATATTTCCCTGTGCAGAAGCAGTTCTTTCTCTTGAATACAAGTCATATTAGCCCAGATCTTGCATGAGGAGTAAATTAAAACTCTAAATGACACGGAATGAAGGGCGGTAGGATGATTAACATCGGCAATCGGAAAGAATGTGAAAGAAGCGGTCAGCAAAATTTTGATGACATCACTATAATGTGTACAGGGACTAGGGACTAGGAAATATCATAAGAATGCTTAGACCAAAGAAGTTCTATACTCAGGACATTCCAAAAGTTAAAAAAGAAAACTGTTCAGCCACCGGGTCAGATTTCGTTAGTTAAAGTTAGTTAAAGAATTCAGCGCTGATGCTTGAAATAATTCAATTCGCTTAAACTGAGGAAGCATATGGGGGGGAAGGTATCATGCAAAATGTTGATATAACGCTAAAAGGATGGGGGGCTGTTTGAGATCTGCCATTCTTTTTAAAATTGTTTTGATATGGCAAATATTTAATAAATATACTTGTAGAATAATAATTTTTTACCATGTTGTGTGATAACTCTGTAGCAATACATTTCTATCTGCAATAAATGAATATCATGATCAGTGTAGTATGCATAACAGCAAACAACACATTTGGAAAATGTATGTATGCCCCTGGCATACACTTTCCTCCCATTCTTCTTATGTGTGTGCATGTAATGTGTGGCCTATAATCCAGACACTAGTCCAGCTTTATTTGATGACACTCTTTATTAATGATTATGATGTAATATGAACATTGTTTAAGCAGTGCAGTTGCTCTGACCTGTAAAGTGGAATGTCACATTATGAACCTGGTGGGTAAACAGTATGAAAATAGAAGGTTCTAAATGACATTCATTGGCAGATAATATAGTAGCTCTTGTACAATTAGTGCAACCTGTCTGAGAAAAATGATTGCTTCAGTTCTCTTTTCTGTATTTTTGAAGTCTCTGTAAGTTATGAGAATATTGCGCTTTGATTTTAATAATTAAATTACTCAGACTGATTAAAGGTTTCAAGCCCAAATTCCATCTTCATCATTTTGGTTTATTCAAGGATTAGTCGTCATTTTGGTTAACTGAAGCGACATAACATCAGTCCAGCAAATGAAGCATATCTACTTTAGTTCATATTAACTGTTAATCCAAGCTGTAATGGTTAAATACATAGATTCTAGAAAATATAAACTATTTGTCTTCAATTAATGTAGCAGTTAGAGACTGGTGAGCACTGTAATATGTCATGGTGCATTATAATTCAGATTAACATGTGAAATATGGATATGCAGGAAAGTGTTGGTGAAAATGTTGACATAAATTTTGTGATTAAAGAGTACCTAGTAGTCAAACAATTCTAAATTTCGTTAATAAATTTAGATTAATCGGACTGTGGGGACATCCCACATAGCACGCTGTTTCCACCGGTCTTTTAGACAACGCTCACTCCTTCGTGAATATCGCATTGCCGGACGTCTCGTTCATATTTATACCACCACGCACAGCAAATTTCTGCTCCTCATTTTCGCTAGCCAATCAGCGCTCTGCAAATTGTTGCTCCTCAATTGCAAGTTTCACTGCGCCCACCGAGCATTGTATAAAATGTGGAGCACAACGCTCGCAAGTCAGTCAGTTCTCAATCCGTGCATCAGCAGTCTTCAAGCAGTCTACAAGCAATCAGCACACTTCGTCGCCAGTGCTCGGTCTACGGAGGCATCGGCGCTTCGCTGTGCCAGGCATGACTGCCACGGCTGTCCGGCGGTCGCACCCGACTCACTGGGCAACTAGGCCGCCTCGATTCGCCGGTAGTCATGTCCGACACACTGGGCAACTGGCGTAGCTACCGCCTCTCTGCTTCAGCGACCGCGCTCGACGACCAGAATTTCACCAGCAGCTGCCGCGCTGTGATGAAGCAACCTCAACCATCTGCCGCACTGCGATCAAGCAACCGCCGCACTGCGGCCAGTCCACACACCGCAAATAACATCCCTTCCTACCGGCGCGTGCCGCGGTACTTCACTAGCCAAGCATCTCAGCAACCACGATCCTTTTCAGGACCTACAAACTATTGCGAAGAAGTGGGTTGTCATTGAAGTAACGACAAGACGAAAATCCCACAGGACTATTAATAGACAAGGAATAAACACATACATACCTAGTACTTACTCAGAAGAAGATTAATGACATAGAAACCAGACTTGACTGGGGTGTCAAAATCAGATGAAAGGAGTGCACAGCTGATGAAGCTGACGCTGTATAAAACAGCTCTAATATGTGCCTTCCAGTCGTGCCATCCCTCTAGCAGAAATCATTTTTGCAGATGGTTTCTGCAATCTACTTTTGAAGGCGAATTGATCTGCAGTGGACATTCTTTTGCAACAAAGTATGATTATGCTTACAATGATGTATAAATACACAAAATAACTGCTATTGGAATTCACAGAATACTTAATTCTGTAACCTTTCAACAAATCAAACAATATAAAAGAAACAGTCTCTTTTCCAGAAGTGCTACAAAGCTTATGCTATATAATTTGATTTACACATTGAAATGGATATGATCAACGCATTGCCAGGCAATAGATCTATAAACACAGTCCATTGCTAGGCTACACAATAATAGAGGACTCTGTTTTTTCCATGTTCACAGTGACCTCATGCAGCATTGGGTGGTGGTCATGTGACATGTGTTTCCTGTGATGCATCTGTTCTGTGGCTACATAAGTGACAGAATTAGTTCAGTTCAGGGCAGTTACGAGTTCTAGCTAGTCATAGCTGAAAGCCATGAGGCAAGGACACTGAGCCATGAGGCCAGGAGGGTTCAGTAGTTGAGAGTACAAGGACGAGATTGGAGCATGCCATTAGTGATTTTTGAAGATTAATTGAGTATATATTAGGACAGAGGAGTACAGAGTGAGTGAAAACGAAATAACAAGAGTACTTCATAGTGATCTGAAGCACTAGTTTCTGTGGGATCCAGTGTCAGGAGACGACTAGTTGTGTGTGCAATGGTGAATTGAAAAGTTGGTAAATCAGCGATAGCGCTGTATTTAAGTGTGATTAAGAGAACTGGTAACCAAGGTGCTAATAAATCTAATCGACCTAACTAGAACCTATTAATTTTGTCATGCGTACCATCCTACACATGACAATATGGATCCATTTTTGTTACTGGCTTATTTCTGTTTAAAATTGGATTCCAGAGGCTTTATTTTAAGTCTGCAGTCTGGAATTCCAACAGATTTCCGTAAGAAGAAAGTGAATTAAATCAGTTAAATTGTCATTTGAAGTATGCATTCATAAAGCAATCATGACTGTACAGTTTGGTTGGTAATTGTGTGTTATAGGTGGTGCTGAGTCAGCTAACTCTGGCACCTGAGTCAGATTCATACCTTCGAGATGAGGAAGGAAGTGGCAGTGGACATCCGCCAGTGACACAGTGGATTGATGATGGGGAACCAGAAGATCCTAACTGGCCTGATGAGGGCTCTGCATCTGGAGACAGTCCGTTACCACCAGGTAATACAGCTCTAATTGTCCTGTTTCAGCAGTCAATAATTGTTCAGCTGATTAAGAATTTCTTCTTGTCTTGGAAGTCAAAGCTTTGGCACTGTAATTGTTGAAACCCTCCATTGGACTCTCTCGAGTTAGTATTGTCTCTTGTATTAGTGACTTCTAGACAGGGTTTGTATTGGTGAATCGGTTTATTGGATATTCAGAAGTCATAGGTACAAGTAATTGTAACCCTCTGAGGATGACTATAAGTATAACATAAATTCATGTCTGGTTAGTCATAATTGTTTGGTAACACTTCAGATATTGAATCCTCCATCCTGTCGTCTGGAACTCTATTTCTCTGTCTGCCTGCATCTTTAACTGAACTGTCTTCATGTAGACTGAATATAGAGCACCCACTTCTTTTGGTTTGTTCTGGACTTCATCCATTGTCTGGTATATAAAAGACAAAAGACCACAATGTTTTGGAGACTGGATCTGTCTCCATCCTCAGGTGGGTAGGGTCTAACGGGTCCAACTGAGTAGGTTTATCCTGCCCTACCCACCTGAGGACAGAGACACATTGTCAGAATCCTTTCAAGGTCATAGAACACCCAGTTGTACAGTTGATTCCTTTGTTATTATTTGTTTTCACGAAATGTGTGACAATCTCCTGGCAACGCAATGATTTATACAAGCATATTCGTTCTTGAATTGAATTGAATTTATTTACATTCTATAAATCCTAAGCAGGTTAGTACCTTTGGATACAGAACAAGTCAAAAGGTTACATACATAAGTACAGGCAATTTTAGCTTAAAAATTAATATAACTTAATTTTACATCATTCTCTATTTACATTGAAGTATTCATCTAAAGAGTAGAAGGAATGAGCATGTAGATAATTCTTTAACTCTGATTTAAACTTTTTAGTATCATTGCCCAAGTTTTTAATACTTTGTGGCAGATTGTTGAACACTTTTATGCCAGTAAAGTAGACTCCTTTTTGATATACTGATAAAGTTGATGAGGGTAGGTGGAAGTTATATTTTTGTCTAGTATTCATGTTATAGACATCAGAATTTAATTTGAATTTATCTTTGTTGTAAACAACAAATAAGAGAAGCAATAATATGTATTGCGATTGAAGAGGTAGAATTTTTAATTTCTTAAAAGTTCTACTAAAACTTGTTTCAACTAGCCGTTGTCTAGCAACAGACGTCTCTGCTGTGCTTTTCCGACTGCACACTTATGGTGTTCAGGTGTCATGTCACAGTATCCTCATAGTCTATTTCTCTAAAAGCAATTTTGAACTGTAAAAGGGAACTGCTACCCTTCAATTAAAATATAAAATTCAACAGAACATGCCTTAAAACGAGAATAATTCCAAATTTTGCATGCATTGAAATACAGACATCTAACATGGCAGCCAAAAAAAAAAACACACACACATAAATACAAGCACAGACATTAAGAATAAAAAACAAAATAAAATTTTATGCCGAAAGAAACAGCAACTCAGCATAGACCTATACCCTACCCTCCTCCACACACAAACACACAGAATCCAGACAATTGGCAACACATATGGACCAACACAGAACAATCAACAAACCCAAATCTAAAATGAGAAATGGAAGAAATGCACAAAAGACAACAACAAAAAATTCATAACTTAGCTAAGTCCTAAATAACAAACACAACAAGCAAAAGTACAAACTACCCTAGAATAATAAATACCACCAACACACAGTTCACACAAGAAGAAATACAGCTGCTAAGCAAAGGCCTAAAATATTATTGACATTATACATAGAAAAACTGGATAGAAACCCTCAGCTTAGAGGCAGAAACTGCAATAAGTTACCTAGAGATAACAGAGCAGAGATACAGACATGCAGTATCGAAAGTCATCACAAGAATCACCCAGGAGAACAAAATAAAAATAATATAAACAAAGAGAGAAAAAGGAATAGAAACTAATGAGGTGTATAAGAAACAAAGTGTCAGCAAATAAACTCATCATAATAGACTTGCATATGAATTAGCGAAACATTTAACAAAAACACTACATAGCTGTGGTTGTTCGTGGCATGACGACATCAAAGAATCTTCTCAAGAATGACAGGTGGCACTGGATAGAAACCCTCAGCTTAGAGGCAGAAACTGCAATAAGTTACCTAGAGATAACAGAGCAACAATACTACAGACATGCAGTATCGAAAGTCATCACAAGAATCACCCAGGAGAACAAAATAAAAATAATATAAACAAAGAGAGAAAAAGGAATAGAAACTAATGAGGTGTATAAGAAACAAAGTGTCAGCAAATAAACTCATCATAATAGACTTGCATATGAATTAGCGAAACATTTAACAAAAACACTACATAGCTGTGGTTGTTCATGGCATGACGACATCAAAGAACCTTCTCAAGAATGACAGGTGGCACACATTCGGCCCCCATCAAGAGAAATAATAAGAAAGAGGACACGAACCTATTTGCTTTATAAATTCTAACTTAACTAAGAAAAAAAATATATATTTATCAAGACAGCCGCAGTAGCTCTAAAAACTTTGGATTTTGTATCCATTTGTATATTATCAACATTGTATGTATATTGTAACATTCAGATCATCTGTTGTAATAGTAGTTTCCAAACTGTATTGATATCCCTCTGATAATGGTCTCTAAGGACTGAAACATATAAGGGTATGAAGAACTGAAATAAGAAAAATCTTCACCAGTCACACTGGATGGAACTGTTATCTTTTTATAATATTGTTAGTGTGATGGACCAGAATGAAACAAATCAAAGAGATTCTTCTAATTTATGACAAAACAAACAGAAACACAGACTAAACACTGGCCAAATTCAGTAAGCAACAACCCACCATAAATGTACAATTGAAAAGGAATCACACATTTCCATCAACTTTCTAGATCTCTGAATACACCATGGCGAAAAAATGAAATTCGAAATATACAGAAAGCCCACTCAAACATATATTATAATACCCATGCCATCCACATGAGCATAAAATTCAAGTATCAACTACTTAATAAACAGATTAAGCATGTATCCAACATCTAGTGAAGGAGAAGGAAAAGAACTAGACATTGTAAAAGACACCCTACATAACAACAAATAGTGTAATGTGAACAAAATTATTAAAACATCAGCCCCCACAAAAACAAAAGCAAAATACTAGTACAGACCCACAGCACTAGAAAACAAATGGGGCATTTTCACATACAGCAGGAAATAAAGAAGAAAAATCACAAAATAATGCAAGGACACCAAACTCAAAATAACATTCAGAACACAAAACACAATACAAAACATAGTGAAACAACCCCTAGAAGAAAGATGAATACAGTGACAGCCGTATCTACCAAATGAAATGCTTAAGACTGCCCACTCAAATATGCAGGACAAACAGGCAGAGCATTCTGCACCAGATACAAAGAACTTATACAAGCAGTTAGAAATAATAACAGCAACTTAGGATACTCAAACCACATATTAAACACAGGACATAAATAGAGAACCAAAACAAATGATACTATGGACATCATAAGAACACACAGAAAAGGAAATCGCTTAAACAAACTGGAAAAATGCCACATATACAATATCAGTAAAGATAACCTGCAAATGAGCAACGCAAACATCGACACACACAGACACAGACACACAATCCAATATTCAAAGCATTATAGAAAACAAACACCAGACAGCAGCACACAACACACCATAAATTCTATGTATCAACACAATTGACATCACAAAAACACCTTTTAGACAACCTGTGTGAAAGAAAAGCAGTCTGCACCAGAGAAAGTGAAGATGGCAAAACAGAAGAAGTGTGAATCACTGGTGTCTTTCAGAATGAAACAAATGGTTATGCAGAGGCTACAGAAAGCAATGGGAGATGCATATGCTGTGACCAGCATATTCAAGCCCAATGCTGATCTGAGCAATGTCACTGGGGACATTGGAAAATTGTGCAAAGGTTTTAGTAAAGAAGATCAGGTAGTTATAGTTGGGGGGCCAGGTAACAGTTTGGAGAGAAACCTCAATTATCAAATTGAGAAAGATTTAAGTGACATTGCCCAGAAAACTAGTCACACCAATGTGAGGTTTGTTGGTCTTTTCTGGCGACATGACAAGCCATGGATTAACAGGTGTGTAAGGGAGATTAATCTTCGGCTTGAGCGTTCGCTTGTGGAGGTAGATGTGGCCCACATTGATGCGATTGATGTCTCTTCAGTATTGAGGAGCGAACATACTGTCCATGGTTTGCATCTTAATCCTCGAGGCAAGGACAAGCTGACGCGACTCATTGCAGAGAGCATTAAGGGCAGACACATTCCAGTTGTCATGGGTGTTCAGAATCATTTTTTAGGATAAAGAGTGCAAGTAAAGTTTATCAAGTAAAAGAAATTGCAAAAGAAACTAATCTTTCAGACAATAATGTTAGTGAACCAATAGAAATCGGAAAAGGTAATTGCAGTCTACTAAATTCAGTGAATAATAAAGTACTAAGAATATTCCATCAGAATATAAGAGGATTGAGAAACAAAACAAATGAACTAATAAGCTCCATGAATTCAAATCTTCCACACATACTGTGCCTTACTGAACATCACATGAAACAGCTGGAATTAGAACATCTTCACTTAGAAAATTATAATTTAGGTGCTAGATACTGTAGGAAAACACTGGAGAAAGGAGGAGTGAGTATTTTTGTACATGAAAACCTAAAATTTACTAAAATAAATTTAGAAGATTATTGCAAAGACCAGGATCTGGAAGCATGTGCTCTAAAGTTAGACTCTCCTTTTTCTAATATTTGTATACTGACTTTATATAGAGCCCCATCTGGAAACTTCAATCACTTTATAAATAGATTAGAAACCATCCTAAATGTACTGCATAGTTCAAAAGTTGAATTTATAATTTGTGGTGATATAAATATAAACTATCTCATCGACAGTAATAGGAAACTAAATTTAGACTC